GGGGGGGGGGGGGGGGAGTGTTACTTTGGACTTTTAAACCTCTTCGTTCTCCAGGCGCTGGTAGCTAAGGGGTTGGGAAAGTGTCCTTTTTAGGTGTGCATGTGTGAATATATCAAAGAAGTGGTCCAATAATCAATACTGGGAATTTCAGTTTGCTTATGTAAATAGAGACGTGAGATGCACAAAAGCTTTCCCAGGAGGAGAAAATTCTCCTTTCTCTCCAAAGCGAATGGTTTGTGTTTCACTGTCCAGCTAAACACTCCGGGCCCAAGCCTGAAAATACTTGTGCAAATAACTTCAGGGAGCTTAAGAGAGCCACTTGTGTGCATGAGGATTTGCAAGATAAGAGCTTTGCCTGCATATGTTTTAAGCGTGAAATGCATCACACGCTGTAAGGACACCTCAAAGCCTTTTGCAGCCCCTTTTGGCTGCCGACACTCGGTGCTGGAGAATGAGAACCTGGTCCAAGAGCCTCTCAGCTCAGTAAGCAGAGACCTGTACCGTCCGTGTGCTCCCCAGATGGCGGGGAGCACTTCTGATCTGTCTGCTGAGCCTGTTGCCTCCTTTCTGCCTTGTGACAGTGAGACAAGAGGTTTCTTGTTTCAGTGAAGAGGTGTTTGCTTTCCCCAATCCAGAGCCCTCCTTCCAGCCAACACAGGCGGCATCCCTGGAGCTTGTCAGAGGGCTGAGGGGCAGGCTAGCTGATAAACCATTAGCAGCACACTGCTGCACTGTATGTGTTTAGGCTTGTTCTAAATTTACTTGCAAAATAAGGTTGGGATTTTCAAGGGACCCTGAGGGAATTAGGGACCCAGAGTAACGTTTTCCAAGGCACCTAAGTGGGTAAGACTCAAGCTCCTAAGTCACTTGAGTACTTTTGGAAGTTTTTGCTCTAGCCTTGTTGCCTTTGAATAGCAGGAAGACTCTTAACCCTCTTCAACTGCTTTGGAAATCCCACTCTAAACTCTGAGGACTTTTCTTTGATCTCAGTGGGGCTGCTAAGCCTGGCTGTGTGTCTCAGACTCCTGCCCTAAGGCAGTATTCAACCACCTCTGCGTACACGGGCATTTACCCATCTCTCACCTCCTCTCCATCCTCCTCTCCCAGAGCCGTACTTTGAGGCTGAGCCCATCACATCTGCTCCCAGCTACTTCCAGCCCCGGGCATTTCCAAACTGCATTTCCTGCGAGGAGAACCCGAGCTATTTGGAGCAGCTGTTTGATTCTTATCTCCAAGCAGAGCCGCCCTCGGACACCTCTCTCAACGCTTTCCAGACCTCCACACATTACAACCCAGACATCTTCCAGCCAGCTCCTCTCTCTTTCAGTCAAAGCCTGGTAAGTTGGCTGCATCCTTTACCAGTCTGGACTGGTGCTGGTTTGCAAGCCACAGGTATCATCTAGAGAGAAGTTGCGTCAGCTCCTTCAGCAAGGGAAAAGGATTGGAGACTGACCTGGAAACTGAAATTGGTTTTCACAGCACGGTACAGCCCCTGACTATGGGCTGGAGGGTAGAAGCCTGGGTCTCATGCTTTCTTTCTGCAAGAGCAGAAGATCAGGGGATCCAGTCAATTCTGGCCTGAGGTCGCAAAGCTGAGGAGGAGTGTTGCTTCCAGCACCTTGCTTCCTCAACCCATATCCCATGGGACCTCCTTAGGGAGGCCCAAGGGAATGGCAAAAGGCAAGTCTCCAAAGGGTTAAATCAGTGCCATCACCTTATTCGTGTTGGCCAGGATAAAAATCTCCAGGCAGATTCAGAGCCCTGGTCCATCCAAGGCCAGGCTCTCACCTCTGACAGCGACCACAGCCATGTGCTTCAGGGAGGTGCAGGCAACTCTGGTGTGGACAAGAGTGGAACAACCGTCTCATGACATACAGATGTGGTACAGATGTTCAAAGTTCCTTCTTGACCCTCAGCCGTTAGAGCTGCCTCCTGCCTTGAAGCAGGAGGGTTTAAATCTGCATGTAACTTATAGGTGAGAACAGCTTTGTTTAAACTGCTTTCTCTAATGGCCTGCAGGTCATATGAGAGTGATGGGAACCTTAAGAAGGAAAAACACAGCAGTGTTCTCAGATATCCCCATTGTCCACCCCAAAGAGCTGCTGGGGGTGCAGTGCCCCCTGACAATGCCCTGCTAGAACTTGATATTGTGGAATAATCCATCTGGAATAGAACAAAAGAGAACCGGAGCGAGCAGCCTCTCTTCTGGGGTATCGTGTGGCACGATACCTGCAGGGTGGTTGCAAAGAGGATGGAGCTGGACTGTTCTTGGTGGGGGCAGATGACACAGCAAGGAGCAATGGGCTCAAGTTGCAACAGGAGAAGTTGAAGTTAGATATTAAGAAAAAATTTCTCATCGGTAAAGCGCTGGAACAGGTTACCCAGAGAGGCAGTGGACTCTCCATCCTTGGAGGTTTTTAAGACGTGGGTAGATAAAGTCTTGGCAGGGCTGATGTAGTTGAGGCTGGTGCTGCTTAGAGCAGGGGGGTGGACCAGATGTGACCTCCTTTCCCACCTTAATTTTCTGTGATTCTATGATTTTTCCCCACATGCTCCTTTGCTGGTGTTATGAGACTAATAAGCTCTGAGTAGCCTCTGCCCAGGTGGAGCCCTGTGCGGCACGGTCCCCACCCCGCACAGTGGGTTCTGCACAGAGCCCATTGCAGGGGCAAAGCTAAAGGGGTAGGACAGGGCAGGGGCAGAGCGGGTGTGACATGGTCACGTACCCAGAAGGCTGCCACTACTCGTGGGGTGTTTCCGTTTGTGGTGTTACTTGAACCTCCAGGATTACCACTGGCTAAACGCTGCATTTGCTTCTCCCTCAAACATTGCAGGTTCCAGGATCTCCAGATTCACCCGATCTCTTCAGCCCACTAGATTATACTTATTCCCCACCGCAGCTGCCTCCTTTTGCTCCACTGAACTACAGCACTCCCTCGCCTCTCGATACCAAGAACTATGGGTATGCCGGGGAGGAGTGGGCCTACCATGCCCACCCCCATCCGCAGTCCAGCTGCTCCCCGTCCGCCTGTTACTGCACATCCTGCGGCTCAGAGCACTTGGAGAGCATCAGGGTGTCTGAATACTACCCCTACCCGAGCACAGACTGCATGGACTACCTGCCCCCAGCGACGATGGCTGATGACTTCTTTAGAAGAGACAGGAGCTGTGACATCTGCTACAGTTAATGGTGGTGGTGGCTTTAGACAGACACGTCCCAAGACCAGTTAACTCCAGGTGTTACCCGGAGCACCACTGCCTGACACAAAGTCCAGTTTCTTCCTCACCACTTACACTGAAGCAAGTTAGCCATCGCTGCCATAGTTTTCACTCACAGCCATTCTCCTGTCCTGTGCGTTACAATTTCATTGTGAACAAGCTCTTTTTTTAATGAGAAATAAATAATTTTATACTGGTTTGGGGTGCTTGTTCATTCCTGCAAGGTCCAGCAGAGACTCTCAGTTCTTCCAAGGAAGCCTGTCTTTCTTTGCCACCCAGGGCTCCTCTCTTAGAAACAGGGATCTTGATCTTGCAAGCAGGCAGGGGGACAAGGGGAAATTTTAAAGGGCCTGCTCTGATGTGAGAGTTTACTCAGTTGTGTAAGGGTTTCCAGGATGTGGGCCAGCATTTCTGTCTCCTCAGCCGCGTCTTATATGTCCCATCGGCTGTAGAAGATAAGACCATTCACCCAATGCACATCGAGTCTCTCTGAGGCAAACACCAGAGATTTCAAACACCATTTAGTACCTTTTTCCAGACTGATCTATTCCTCTCCTGCTCTCTCCAGCTTTCCGTACAACACCTCATCAGCCTAATAAAATAAAGAACCTTTTCCAGCGGGGTTGCTTTTATCTGAGATCTGTGACAAGCCAAATGCTTTTCAGTGATGTACAGAATAACACGGCACCTCCAAATGGCATGACAGGGCTGAGATAGCTGCAGGACCAGCCTGCACCACCCAGAGCGAGTGCTCCTTCTTCTCTGTGCACATGAAAGCCAAGTGGGATTCTGAAGGACTCAAGGGCATTTAATAATTTAGGAGCTAGCCCCTCCTCCCTGACCCCGCAGGTCATAGCGCATCCTAGCCTCATTTTCCAGCCTTCCTACAACCCTTCACTGCACCATGTCAGCTGCTAGCTCTGTGCTGATGAACGGCAACACACCAGTGGATACAGCATGGATAGAGTTAGTCCAAAGCGCACCCACCAAAATGAGCCCCTCTCACCACTCCATCTGCCATCCTCCCTCCCTGCATCACACCACAGACAACAGCCTGTGCTCAAACGCCCCAGGGCAGCAACTGTGGCTGCATTTCCTATGTCAAGAGCCACACACCGTGCTGGCATTGCACATGCATGTTCATAGTATGCTGGGTGAAGCAGCACCCTTATAGGCAGGTGCAATCAGCTAGGTAAGGGGGTAAGGATGGCTGACACAGAAGGCGGCTTTGCTAGTTATATGGCAGGGAAGGAGGATCCTAAATATGACCCTGAGCCTTCTCTGACATTTTTCCTGTTCATGGTTTCAGCTTCAAGGAAAGCGGATGGTGTAGCCTGCGCTACCTGGAACACAACGACCTCTGGTGGCCTCTCTGCTAGGGCTCAGCAGCCCCAACAGCAAGGCTGTATGCCATAATGTGCTGCCCTGGTGTTTTCCAAGGTGCTTCAGTGTGGAAGATGTCTTTGAAAAGGCCAGTGATGAAGCAGCAAGTCTCTATACCCAGTGCCCAGCACCGGAGGCCTTTCCATCCCAGGGCTGTATTTCCATGCACATCTTTGCACATGAGTTTTGCATCTATCCATATAATAAAACATTTTTCATATGCTAAAAATTTTTTAAAAATAATTTTCAGTTCCTTCCCAACTTGCCTGAACACCATCCATGGGGAAATGTTTTGCAGCAGTCTGTTCTGTGTGTTTAATCCATTTTTCTGCTGTCAGGTATCTCTAGGCAGATCCATTTCCTTCTCTGCATTTCTTTTCTCAGTGGGCTCCGCAGAAGCGTTTGTTAGCTGAGGGCTTGACCTGGCCGGCTCACTTCTGTTTGGTCAGCTCAGCAACCTGGGAACTGCTTAGGTTTCTTTTTATTTAAGGTGTGTGTAAGGAGCACATGAACAAATTAAATTGATATTTATATTAAACTGCTAGAGGCCTGCAGTGGGGCTGGGACCCCTTTGTGCTCAGGGCTATGAATACAAGTATTAAGAGATGGTCCTTGCCCGGTGGAGCTTACAATTCCAATAAACAAGACAGAGGGAAGGTGGGAGACTGGAAGTGTCCTAACCCTTGTTTTAGAGAGGAATTGAAGCACCAGGACAATAAGGCTTTGGATTCAGCAGTGCATTTAAGCATCTGCTCAATTGTAAAAGCAGATGTCCCCAGTCCAGCTTCTTAGCTATATGACTATGCCCATCTTTTTCCTCAAAACTAGCTTCCTGGGTGCAATGCAGATTACAGCAGGTAGTTGTGTTGCTCACACAGAAACCAAGTGCATTTCCAGTGCCTGGTGAGATGTCACTGGATGGCATGTAGCTACTTGTGCTGCATCTGTGGAGGTTAGGCCAAGTCCTCCACTGAGATATTGTATGAGGTGTCAGACTAAATCCTGCTTGTATTTGCCAGAGAGTGAAAAGTTGAAGCCAGGTAACTTGAATGGCTGAGTTCCTGGTGATTCTTTCTGAAGGCTAGAAATAATGTATGGTATTCTGCACCCTTGGGTTAACGATAAGCCTTGCTGCACCTCACTTTATTCAGCTGAGTTCCCACACTCTCTATGGAGCTATGTCTTCTTGGTATCAGCTGAAGTCTGTAGGGGGTACTACGATCGACACTGTATTCCTATTTGTACTGAAAAATCATACATCTGCAGACCTCCATATTAACCAAGGCAGATACCGCTATTAATAAGCTCTATCAGACCTAACTTGAATAGTGCTTCCTTCTGGCTGTTTTGTCTTTTAATATCAATTGAGAAAACTTCTGGTAGAGGGAGTTTCCAAATGAAGAGACTGGAATGCCCGCTATGCCCAGAGCGCGTATCCACAAAAGGGATGAATCACAGCTGGAAGAGATGTCTCTCTCTTTTTTCCCCCCCTCCATACTAAAGAAGGAACCATATTATTTCTTTTTCAGCCACTAGACTCTAGGGAATACATTAGAACTGGTAAAAAAGAATTCAGGTTTTTCTACCAAGAAATGCCATTTCATCAACCCTTGATAGTATTTTTTTTCACTAGATGGGACTGTTGTTTTCTGACCAGTCCCAGAGGAAATGCCCAGCACCTGAAATCTTTCCAAGGTCTCTACAGGATGGTCTTCTCTCCTGGAGACTGGGCTATACACTATTGATGTTGTTATATTGACAGGCAAGTCAAGAAATCCTGTGGTGAAACCTGGGCCCCTACAAACAACAGAAAGCTGGTTGCTTTTGCTCTTGGATTAACCAAATTCTGCAACATTTTTTTTTCAGTTTGATCTGGAGGTCTTTGGCAATTTAAGCTAAAATCAACCAGCCTATCCAGGTTTTATAAGATTCCCACCAACATTATATAGGCCTGGATCTATTATCTTTGCATTTTCTGGCTGCACATACTAGTTAAGGGGAATATTTTAGACTTAGGCTATACCCACACTGCAGTCAAGGGGTTGACTGCAGCATGCATGCACATACCAGAGCTAGCTTTCATTAAGGTGGGTTGGGTCCCTGTAGATTAGCCTGGGCCTCCACTTCTAAAAAATTGGGGTCTGGGGCAGCACTGTGTTTGTGGTGCTGCTTCATTACTGGTTTGGGTATGACTAACATGTTGCAATCTCATCTGCCAGCTTCATTGCAGATGTAGCCTTCATCATATAGAAGAGAGGCTCTGGAGGCTCACAGCTGTAGGAGACGAAGGCTGAGCTAGGATTTTCAAAGCCATCTATTAAGGTCCAGATGCCCAATTTCTATTAAATGCATGCACACAGATGGACAAAGTCTACTTAAGTTTTGAAAACTTCAGCCTGAATTTGTGACAAACAGGGAAAGGTGCTTGAATGCAGAATCCCAGAATGTTAAAGGAGACTTAGGAAGGAAGAATCAGCCAATTCATTAATTTATCTTCCTGTAATGAGATGAATAATTACCACCCCCAGCTTCCTTCTGGGCTGTTACCAGGTGAATGGTGCCAACATGGAAGTCAACAACTGCAGTGCTAAATGCTGACAGGTGTGTGACAGCACAACAACATGTTTTGGCTTCACAGGCAGGTAGCCAAAGCACCAGACTATCAGCACATAGATGTGGGTGAAACAAAACAGACAAGCATTTTTCCCATCTCATAGCACAGGACTTGCCCCAAATCCATGGCTGTCAAGGCAGGAATGAGGATTGAAGCCTGGTCTTCTAGCACAGACCCTTCCGCCCTCACTAATGCTTTCCAGAAGAAGCTGTTTTTCACTGGAGACCAACAAAAGAAAATAACAACTTACCTGCATTTATCCTCCAGCACATAGCCCAGCAAGGCAGAAAGGTGAAGTTGAGCTCTAGGGGAAGCCCTGAAAAATCTCTACTTTGTTTTTCCTTTCCCTTCGGTGTTTCCTTCAAAAAGCTGCATGATCACTAGGTCAAAAAGTGATTGGGAAGGAATCTATTTAGAAAGAAAGCCCAGGCACCTATCCCATTACGGATCTCCTTTCCATGCATCTTCAAGCCCCTTTAAACTGCTCTAGCACTTAAAGCAGTGTGGGAACCCCAGGATTCATGGGGGGTGCAGACCAGCCTTGCGCACGCCTAGAGGCCAGGCACTCTTGCCCTGAGGAGGAAGCATGCAGTGTAGGATGCAGATTCAGCCTGGTAGTGGAGCCTCTGAAGCAATTTTGCCCCTTTGGCTGTTTTTTTGTGCAGTGGCCACCATGCTTTACCCAGGAGTCTGGACACCCACAATGACATTTCTGTTCCCAGCCTCCAAGTGAGGATTTTTAATCAACAAACTGTACCGTCTTCTTGACCTTTCACAGCCATGTTGAATGAGAATAAAGTCATCGGGTTCTTCGGCTGCTCTTTCTCCTATTGTTTAATCAATCTCTGAGCCAGGGACTGGAAACATATTAGAGATGTTTGTTGTAATGTTTCCAGTTTCTTGGGACTTTCATTTATTTTCGATGACACATTCTGTGCACGTAAAAACTTGCCAGCTGTTGACACAACGATCTCAAGGCTATGAACAGAAAGCCAGGGATCGAAGCAGGCAATTCATCAAAGGCTGATCCTTGGCATTTCCAACAATAAGAAAAGCTATTTTTCTTCCCCTTCCTATATGTTTAAAAAAAGAATATATTGGATCCTCAACCAGAGCAAACTAGCAAGGAATCATGGACATCACTGCAGTTACAATGACATGCACCAGCTGGG